TATTACTACTACTAGTTCTACTACTACTAACTACTACTACTACTAATACTACTTACTCTACGAAAACTGCTTCTAGTACCACTAACTACTACTACTACTACTACTACTACTACTACTACTACTACGACTACTACTACTACTACTACTACTACTACTACTACTACTACTACTACTACTACTACTACTACTACTACTACTACTACTACTACTACTACTACTACTACTACTACTACTACTACTATTACTACTACTGATAATAACGACTATTACTGCTAGTACGACGAATACTACTACTGCTACTACTACTACTACTACAACTACTACCAATACTACTACTACACTTACTGCTACGACTACTACTTCTAGTACTAGTACTAGTACTACTACTACTACTACTACTACTACTACTACTACTACTGCTACTGCTACTACTACTACAACTACTACTACGACCACTACCACTACTACTTTTTCTAGTACTACAACAACTACTACTACTACTACTACTACTACTACCACTACGACTACTACTACTACTACTGCTACTACTACTACGTTTGCTACTACTACTACTACTACCTACTACTACTACTACTACTACTACTACTACTACTACTACTACTACTACTACTACTACTACTACTACTACTACTACTAACTACTATAACTACTACTACTACTACTACTACTACTACTACTACTACTACTACTACTACTACTACTACTACTACTACTACTACTACTATTACTACTACTACTACTACTACTACTACTACTACGACTACTACTACTACTACTTCTACTACTACTACTTTTTTTTTTATTATTTCTACTACTACGACTACTATTATTACTACTACTACTACTACGACTACTACTACTACTACTACTACTACTACGAATACTACTACTACTACTACTACTACTACCACTACTATTACTACTACTACTACTACTACTACTACGACTACTGCTACCACTCAGACTGTTATTACGACTACCGGGGTTACGAGTTCCATCGGGCACACATGAACCAGGCAGTGTAGCATGAAGAAACATTCAACGCTACAGAATGATGTTATAGTTGCCCTAGGAGTATTTGTAGAAGCACTTGCACTAGCAATCGCAATACGTTCGGTAGTAGTGTTGGTACTACGAGTAATATCAGTAACTTGTGATAATAAGTAGAACCCGCAATCATAAGGGTAATAGTGATCACAAGAACCAGAACCGTAGCAGGGATAAAGGTTGCAAAAGACGCAATCGTAAAACTCCGTCGTTATATAAAGATACGGTTTTAGCGGTAATATCAGTTTTTGCCGTAGCAATATCAATAATGGAAGAAGTGATGGTACATCAATTTAAGTTGTAAGACACTTGAATTTGGAACAGTGGCGGTATTGGTGGAGCGGGTACAGGATATGATACGCATTTTGAAATGGTATGAGAATTAGGAACAGTGGTGCAAGCATTGAAGCAAACATCGGGCCGCTCGCGTAATAGAAGTAATTTTAGAGATGTCAGCAGTACGAGTCTCCGTAGTATTAGTGTTATTGGACATTATTGGTATGCAAATCGTTATCGTGTTAGCAATACCAAAACTCGAATTGAAAATGCTACGAATCGTTCTACGAAGAGCATTCGTAGTAGAAGTAGTAGGGGCAGCAAGAGTAAGCGCAGCATTCGCGAATGCACAAGCCATGATATCGCGATCGCGGGCGCAATTGCAATCCGAATGCACATGGAATCGCGAACGATCGTAATCGCACTCAGAAAATTAGTCGCAGTAGCAAGTTCAAAATATGTTGTAGCTAGATTGACAGGGATAGTGATGGCATGTGTGGAGATAGCTGCGCATTAGGAGAAACAGGATTAGTTATATGACCAACGATAGTAATATGGTTTACGATCGTGGAACCAGTCATACGCATGGTAGCAGCGAGTGTAATATATGCTCGTAGGTGTAGGAGCCAAACTAACAGTATAAGCCACAGCAACAGTAAGAGTAACAGTAATAAGTAATAGCGCTAATAATAACCGCGGTGGTGATAACATGATTAGTCCCAGTGGCAATAAGATCATGAGCCTTAGCATTTGCATGGGCGAGAGCAAGAGGAAGCATAAATAGAAAGAGTAATCGTAATAGTACCAGTCGTAGTCAGGGTATGGTTTTTCGCTGTTGGAATATGATATGCAATGACAATGAGCAGGGGTATACATACAGATATAGAGCTCATCTGCGCAATGAGAATGCCAGTGGTCAAACAAATTGACATCGAATCGTATGCATATTCAGGTCAGCTGAGATGCCTGCCGGGAGCCGAGAGAAATTGCGTCAATCGCGGTCGCATTTCCATCCCATCGTGCGTGTAGTCGTGACCGTGGCCAGAATCGCAACTGTTTTTACCGTCGTCGTGATATAGATTGTAACCGAGTTACGGGAAGCATTCGTTTTAGTGGTATGAACGACAGTAGCAGTTAGATCGCGATGGATAGTACTAGTATGTGCGGGGAGAAACTTATATTAGGAAAAGTCGTATGAGTAGTCTTATCAAGATTACCGTTTTTTGTGCAGTATTAGAACCAGTGATACCCATGGGGGCAGACAAAGAAATAGTGCATTATCCAAAAAACCAGTGATACGCATGATGTTCGTGGTAGCAGCCATAGAACCAGTGATACTCATGGTACTCATGTGTGCTCGTAAGTGCACCAGACAAAAAATAGTATTAGCCGTATCAGCAGCAAAAGTACGAGCAATCGTGTTGCACATTGCAATGTGTAGAATACCAGCGCTAGTCACAATACCACCCGTAATCGCAATAGTATTTTCAAACATAGTGGCACCATTTGGTGCAAGGATAGCGCTTACATGAATAGTACGAGTAAAACTGGTGGTACCATTTAAGGTACCAGCCTCAGCAATACTCGTCCTACTAGTATCAGTAGTCGTGATTGGATTCGGACTAGTGGCAGTGGCAGAAATACGAATAGTAACCGTGGCATAAATAGTGCGAAACGTACCAATAAGAATTGCAATGTCCGTAGTAAGGGTGACGGTAGCAGTCAGCGTGACATTGGCAGTAATGCCAGCGTTGCCAGTAGGATTTGCTATTATTATGAACAAAAACTAGTAATAGAAGTAGTTGTCGCCGTCGTGATCACAGTTGTAGTCGTATTCGTGTTTGAATAGACCGGCAACCGAATACGGAAGCAACACGAGCAATAGCAAACAAAAAATCAGCAGTAGCATGATTAATATTAGCGGTTGTAATAGTAAACAGATTTGCAATATTATCATCAGCATGATCACATGTACGGGCGAAAATTTTCGAAACATGAATACGCATAGTAGCAGTGGTAGCCGTGGTAGTAGTTCTTTTTGTTGTAATATTGTTAGCGATGGCATTGCGCATGCATGTACATACACATATAGAAATAATGCGCGCCATGGTAATATCAGTGGCCAAACAAATTTGAATTGAATCGTATGCGTATGAAGACCAGCTGAAATGGCGGTAGAGAGCCGAGACAGACATTGTGCCATAGAGAGTGGAGCGCAGAGAATGCAGAACAGAGAACGACGAGCAGAGGATATAGTTGCATATTCCCAGGTGGGGGGCAAAGTAAAGGCAGCTGTAGAAGCCTATTATGAAGTGCGGGCAGAGAGAGAGACTGAGATCCGAGCGATAGTCGAAAGAGAGCGCGTAAAAGGGCAATCTAGAGATGTATATATAGAGAGGGAGAGAGGGAGGGGGAGAGAAAGAGAGAGACCGAGAGGGACAGAGAGAGAGGAAAACAAAAAAAACAGAGAGAGACACGAGGTAAAAGGACGTTGCGCAGCCCGGTTAAATATATATATATATATATATATACATATACATATATGCTTGTATGTAGAGAGCGAGAGAGAGAGGAGAAAAAAAGGAGAGAAAGAGACAGAGAGAGAGAGATATATATAGAGAGAGATAAATAGACAAAATATAAAAGGAGAGGGAGAGAACGAGAGAAAGAGAGAGAGAATGAGGAAACAATTATAGAGAGCGGAAAACATTACTGCAGCGTTTAAGGCCCAACCTAAGTATGGCACCACACGATCCTCTTCCTCTTCATCATCCTTTTCCTCCTCCTCTTTTTCCTGTTCCTCCTTCTCCTCCCTCCGCCTCTACTTCTTACGCTTCCTATTATTACTACTACATTTACGATTATTACTACTACTACTACTATTACTACTACTACTACTACTACTACTACTACTACGAACTACTACTACTACTACTACTACTACTACTGCTACTACTACTGCTACTGCTGCTACTACTACTACTACTACTACTACTACTACTACTACTACTACTGCTACTACTGCTGCTACTACTACGACTATTACTACTACTATCACTAGTACTACTACTACTAATAATAATAATACCACTCTACGACTACTACTACTACTACTACTACTACTACTACTATTACTACTACTACTACTACTACTACTACTACTACTACTACGAATACTACTACTACTACTACTACTACTACTACTACTACTACTACTACTACTACTGCTGCTACCACTACTATTACTACTACTACTACGACTGCTACTACTACTACTACTACTACTACGTTTTCTGCGACTACCACGACTACTACGACTGCTACTACTACTACTACTACTACTACTACTACTACTACTACGTTCACGCGCACGCCAACGCCAACGACCACTACACGATTATGAATAGTCATACCGATGTTGTTGATATCTCGTGCTCATGCAGCAATTGTGTTTCCCATCCTCCTGGTCCTCCTCGTCCTCTCAGCCTTCGCCCTCCCTTTGGACTCCTTCCAGAAATTCCTTTGGAGCTGATGAGAACATTACAGAGCCCGTAAGATCTTCCTCATTGTCCTCCTGATCGCCCTCCCTCCTCGTTCCCCTCGTGCTAACATGGTATACGCGTCGCTTCTGCGTGCACCCGCGTGTCGCTGCGAAGGTCATCTCTGAGGCCGAGGCGAAGGTGGAGAAAGCCAAGGCCGATTTGGCTACGGCCTCCGAGGCTGCCCAGACCACCCCTTGTTCAGGCTACTTAACAAACGCATGAATGAACGGAGGAGAAGGAGAAAGAGGAGAAGTGGAGGTGTTTTGCCTGTTTGGGGCCTCCGGAAGCTCTTGCAGGCCTCCAGTGAGTCCAGAAGGGTGCCAGAGGCTTCGGCGACCTCCGACGACATCCGGGGACCCCCTTCCTCCTCCTCCCCCTCCTTCATGATAACCCGGGGACGTACCCAACCTTTTTAAGCATTTGGTGAATGATACATCGGATCATTCACTACAAAAGCAATCATTGAATGATCCGCAATGACCTTGTACGCTTCGCCAACGAACGTCCACGCACAAACACACACACACACACACCTGGCTACTGGGTCCGGGGGCCCCAGCCCAGCAGCCCCGAATTTGCATGAGGGCCACGGGACTCTTTGGGGGCGCGCGGGATTTGATTATTCGAGGCCAGGGGCGCCCAGAGGGTCCAAGACAGTTCCGACAGCGCCGTTGAATTTTCCAGGACGGCCCAAGACGGCTTCAAACTATCCCCAGGGGCTCCCAGAGATCCCTCGAGAGAGCCATAGGCGCCACAAATCGTCCTTTTCCCTTGGGAAATGATTCATGTTAAGCCTGTCCGCTTTTTAGGTCCCACCAGCGTGCAAGACGCCCAATAGGCTCCTGAGATCGCCCCAAAACGGCCCAAGAAGGCCCCAAGATGGCCCAAGAGGGCCCCAAAACGGTTCAAGAGCCCCCCCCCCACAAGAAATCCCAATATTGCATCAAGACGGCCCAAGGGGACGTCAAATCGGGCCAAGAGGCCACCATGAGTACCACGAACTTGTCGGCGACGTCGACAGCAACGACCTTCTCCTACGGGCAATTGCCCGCTGGCCAGACTCGATACGATGCTGGCCTGCAAGACATAACCAGCCTTGAGAGTGTGTTGGATCTGCCATGGTTTCCGTCGGCTTCAGCTCTCCGACATTTTTTGTTCATCCCCGAACTACACGTACATCTGCATCGGCGTATTCACGACGACCGCAAGCAGCACGCTCTTGTCCGCAACGACGGCGGCGGCGAGCAGGAGGACGAGGACGAGGACGAGGGCGAAGAGGAGGGGGAGGAGGGGGAGGTCCATAAGGACGAGGGAAAAAGGCTTCAGAACAGTCCCAAGTATGAGGTGGAGGAGAAGGAGAATGAGGAAAAGGGTAAGGCCCAGAAGGAGGATGACGAGCGGGTGAGGATGAGGCGGAGACAGAAGAGAGGAAGGATGAGAAGCATACAAATGAGGATAAGGAGGAGGAGGGTCAGGACGAGGAGGAAGGGGGCATGTTGTGAGGCGCTCCTAGTATGCCCTCTGAAGGTGTCATTGTCTTTGTCGTCGCAACTTATGTTCCATGTGCAGCTGTGTTGCTATCGAAGTTGAGGGCGTGCTAGAACCTGAGCGCGCCGTGGTTCTAGAAAAACAGTATGTGCACATATATGTACATGTGGTGTATACATATTTGGACGCATGTTCTGTGCATGCACGCATGCTGAACTAAACAAATATGTGTGGGCATGTATGTGTGAGAGGGCGTGGGGGCGGGGGCGTGGGGGGGTCCTTGCATCTCCCGCTGCATACGAAGCGATCGCGCTGCACATCGACGGATGAAGGTTGAAAAAATGTAGTTGCGGGCGCGCTTGTGTGTGTGCGATTGCAATGTACGTTGACGAGTCCCGTGAGTTTACTACCCGTTGTTGGGCCATTGTTGCGGGAGAGGGAAAATTCTGTATGTATGAGCGTGTGCGTTTTGTGTTGTGCATTGTGTGTTTACGTGTATGTGTGAGTTTGTGTGCGTGCTTCCGCCAGCGCGGTACGTGTGCGTCTTAACGATATGTGTTGCGACATCGCGGAGGAAAAGTGTGTGTGTGCCGTGACAGTCGATATGCGTCGGGTGTCCTCCGAGGATCTTGTGAAGAAGTCGAAGGCTGACGATCAAGTCTTGAAGAAGCTCGCGGCGGAGGTCAAGGAGATCGAACAGAAGAAAGCCGCGATGGAGTCTCCCGGGGATAAAGAGGCATTCTCCCTCTCTCTCACGCACACGCACATATACACGTACACACAGTTTTTCGTCGGCGGCCAGGCCGAGTGACTGCGCTGGCGGATGGTGCATGTGTAGGGCGTACATATGCGAACTAAGCCGCAATGCAAGTGAGGGGGAGGGGAAGGTCCAGCACGGGCAGGAAGGAGTGGAAGCTGGGCCCGCTCAGAGCGGGGCCAGGCCCTGGCAGGGGCAGCGCCAGGGCAGCGGGGCGGCAGCCGCGGCGCAGCCAGGGGGGGGGGGGCAGCAGTCAGGGGGGGCAGCGCTGGGCGGTGGGAACAGGCCCAGCCTGCGCTGGGGGCGGGCAGCGCAGCAAGGCAGCCGTGCGCCTAGGTCGGGCCGACCTCCAGGCGACAGGGCAGCAGGAGAGGGCCACGTCAGGGGAGGGGCCGGGGGGTAGCTGGGAAGGGCCCAGCAAAGGAAGCGAGCAGAGGCGCCGAGATCATGTGACCTGCGATGCGCCAAATGGCGGGCGTCCCCGGCACCTTGTGGGCAGGGACACCAGGGAGGGGCGGAGCAGCGGGCGAGCAGGCCGGGACCCTCCGGCAAAACCGGCGCAAGGCCCGCAAGCCAGGCTTGAAAACCAGGCAAAGGCGGCTGAACGGGGGGGGCGGCCAAGGCCGGCTGGCTCCCGGACCCGGGGAGGGCTGGACAGAAGGGGCAGAGGCCACAGACGAAGCTTGCCCAAAACCTTGCAGAAGGCCGGCGATCTGCTTTGCCAAGGCAACGGCGGGGCAGGGGCCTCCACCCGGGCAAAGAAACGCCAGGGCTGTCCCACGGGACAAGCGGAGGGGCGGCGCGCGCGAGCCAGAGGCGAGCGGCAAGACCAGCTCGCCAGAAGGCAAACGCAGCGGCCATCGGTAGAAAGGGCGGGCGCGAGTAGCGCAGCGCGCTGCGCCGTGGAAACCGGAGGGCCGGTGGCCCCCAGGCGACGTTGGGGCAGGGTGACCGAGCACGAAAGGGGGTAGACGCCAAAGACAGAAGCAGGAGCGCCACTCGAGAGGGCCAAGTGCGCGCGGGAGGGGGCACCGACGGGCGCAGTGAGAAAGGTACCGAGCAGGTGCATCAACACTGAAGCATGGCAGCCGACGATCCACGAGGCGGGCCGCCTGGAGGGGCAGGGGAGCCGGAGGAAGGCGCGGAGGCGCTCAGGCGGCGGCCAGAGGCGACCGCGGCAAAACGCGCGGATGGAAGGCGGGGCAAAAGACCGGATGGACCCATACGGCCCAACCAGATGGGGGGTAGCGCCGAGCAGGTGCACGGGCGCAAAGGAGAACGGTCGAGCCCATAGTTGGGCGGCTGCCGCCCAGGGCGGGAGGCGGCAAGGAGGTGCGCGCGGAGCCGTTCAGAACTTGCCTCACAGAGCGGCACATGGCGGCTGCCAGTAGGGCACCAGGCGAGCCGCTACTAGTGGCGACTGCAGGACCCCGACAAGCGCTGCCGCGTGGGGTTGTTGCTGGGCCACGAGGAGTCAGCAGGCCGCTTGCCTTTGCTCTGTGGGGGAGGACCTTTGCCTTTGGTGCTCTGGGCGTTGAGCCTCCCCATCTCCTCCCACGAGGCATCCCAGTCGACGTAGATGTGCTTGCTGCGGCAGAGTGTGCTGACGACGAAGTTGCACTGGATAAGCTGAGACACGAACTCTTGGCAGAAGTCCGAGGAATGGCGGCCAGGGTCTCTGGTGGACCCTGCATACCCCATGTGATGGTCGCATATGGCGTCCCAGCCAATGGTCAACATGGGGCCACATTCGTTGTTGAGAGGATCCACCACCTCCTGCCAGTTCTCCTGCCGCTGAGCGGCTTAGTTCCAGCAGGGGTGCCAGGAAATGGACTGGCGCGGTTTGAGGTAAAGTCGGTCGTGGGGGTTCCAGCGGGGGGTGTAGTCGCGCGGCTGAATTGGCGCACACACACACATACACGTGTGGGCGGAAGCCACTCGATTGGATGAAGATGGGCCGTTCCAGACATGGCCTCCTCGTTGGAAAAGCATGGGTTGAGCCCATCTCCTGGCGGAAGATGGAGGACTGGCGGAAGCCAGCGAAAAGCGAGGGCGGCCCCCCGGAGAGAGGAGAATGGCGGCGCCGCCAGGGCTTTGTGAGGCCCGCCACGCGTGGTAGGCGGGCGCTCCCCGCCTGGATAGATCCGCCCCAGCGAGGTGCATTCCTTTGAGGTGGTCGTTCCCCTCTTCTACGGTCAACAGCTCTCACCGAGCGCGTTCCACTACTCGCAAAGTGCCTACTCGCAAACGTCTGGAAAACACACATGCCTGCTTCGATGTAATTTCTCGTAGATCCCCCGCGGCGGATCCAGGCCAGTTGCGACTCGCTACTCTGCGAGTAGTGGAACGCGCTCGTCTAAGCTCGCGCTTCGCCTCCACGAGCGGCAGGCGTCCCTCGGGTGGTTTGTCTGGCGCTTGGCGTTCGCGGTCCTGCCGCGGGTGCTGATGAGGTGGTTGTGCATCTCGTTTACATGTTTATCGATGCCGTGGCTGGCGGCCATCATGAGCTTAAGAAAGCGAGCGTCGCTGGTCATATGCAGGTACACACGGTCAGCCTCAATGTCTGAAAAAAACAGGTAATCGCACCACTTGATGGTGTCTCCGTTATCCTCCAGATGTCGTTATCACACGTTTCCTCTTGGCAGCGCAATCAGAGTCGCACGAATGGCACCATTGATCTTTGAGCCCTTGTGTTTCCTGTGGTTTGTGTGCCCACTTGTTGCCACTAGCGTATGTGCAAACCGTTGTGTTTTGTCGGCATTGCTGCTTCCGTTAATACATCAGATTGCAACTGTGCCGCTTCTGCTACATGCATATGCTGCCACAAAGCGAAACCAGAGCCTGGCTTGGCTCCTACGGCCCCGCTGACGAGGGTGCCTGGCTGGCTCCGTCATTCCTGCTTGCGTACTTTCTGTCGCGCGAGCCGACACCCTCAGTGGAAGGGCAGGGAGATACTCTTCTGTCAACGGGGCGCGATGCATAAGCCCGCCGCTCGCCAGACTTGTCCTTAGCAGCCGCGGCTCTACTCCTCCTTCTCCAATTACTACTCCTCTTTTCCTTCTTATCACCTTCGTCCTCCTCCTCCGAATCACCATCATCATCAGCAGCATCATCATTATTAATTATTGCGAAGGCCTTACGGCCGGTGCCGCCGACCCTGGAGGGCGACCCATGCGTTCTCTAATGTGGCGGGGGGGGCCTCTTGGGGCTTCCTGGGGGCCTCTTGGGGGTCTCGTGGTGGCCTCTTGGGGGCATCTTGGGGCTTCCTGGGAGCCTCTGTCGCCGAGGGCTCGTCGGGCCCCCCGTCTGGGCACCCTGTTGGAGCCGTTTGGGGAGCCTCTGGGGCCATCTTGGAGGCATCTTGGGCGGTCTTGAGGCTCTCTTAGGTCATTTTTGGGGCTCTCTTGAGGCCTCTTGGGCTATCTTGGGGCAATCTTGGGGGCATCTGGGGCCGTCTTGGAGCGTCGGCAAGTTGAAACGGCGAGAACGCCAAAATCTGTCAAAAAATTTAAGGAAATCATTGATTTTTCCCTCTTCGTGCCCTCTTGGGAGTGCTCTTGGAGACTTCTTGGAGCGTCTTGGCAATCTCTTGGGCCGTCTGGAGGCTACTTTGGCGTCTTCGACCGATGGTTCGGCGATTCGGGGCCCTCTGGAGCCGTCTTGGAAGCCTCTTGGGGCACTCTTGGCCAGTCTGGGGGCTTTTCTAGGTCCCGGGACATCCCGGGGGGGATGCGTATCTGCCCCCCCCCCCCGGGACCCCCCCCCCCGGCGGGGAAGGGATCAAAGGGAAGGGGCTTCCCTTCGACTCAGCTACGACGTTGCTCAATTTCGCTTTGCCTTCGACTCAGCTACGACGTTGCTCGATTTCGCTTTGGTTTCGCTTTGGCTGGCGCGCCTGAGGGGAGGGACGACGACGACGACGACGACGAACGGAAGAGCATCGACGACGACGACGACGACGACGACGACGACGACGACGGCGACGGCGACGACGACGACGACGACGACGGCGGCGACGACGACAACGACGACGACGACGACGACGACGTTCACGACGAACGGAAAAGCATCTTCCACACGCCGACAGGGCCGGCGGATTACCATTAATATTAGCAGCATCATCATCATCATCAGCAGCAGCAGCAGCAGCAGATCAGCATCAGCATCAGCATCATCATCATTTGGATTCGGCGGGATGGGTCTCATGTCGACCGTCAAAAATCTGCCCCCAGGCCCATCTTGTGGTTTTTTCCGGCCAGAACTTCGAAGGGAATCGAGCCGTGGCCACAAGGGCGCCCCAGAAGGCCCAAGAGAGCCCGGCCCAGCACTGCGTCAGGGCCAGCGCGTGCAAGTTGTGCCCGAGGAGCTGCCCGCGAAGGCACGAAAGGCCATGGCCGGGGACGGCGTCTTGCAGAAGGAAGCCAGCGCCGCGGACGCAGAAGAGTGAGCTGGGCGGGCGCCCGGCGCGTCCCGATGGGGGGTCCCCGCCGCCCCCCCTCCACCACTGGCCGGGGCCGCCGCGCTTCCCCACGTTGGCCTCTTGGATTCCTATGGGCTCTTATGGGTAGATCGCGATGGCCCCTGGACATCCCAGATTGACCAAGGGCGAGAGTCGAGAATCGAGCGTCCAGCATCGATTTCATCTTTTTGTTACCTTTGTGGGGCCTCTGGGGGCTCCTCGCAGCCGAGGCTGGATCCGCCTCGAACGTATGGCCAGAATGCACCCCAGGATTGGTCCAGATCGGCCAGGGGACGACGTTGGAGGTTCAAGTTGGACGGTTTGGGGCTTTCTTGTGCCTTCTGGGGCGGCGTCATGGTCACGGCTCGAGTCCCTACGAATTTCTGGCCAGGACGCACCCGGGGGCCATTTGTGCAGGGTATGAAGCCCATCCCGCCGAAGCCAGACCCCTTCGCGTCGCGAACAAAACACGCGACGGACATGTTCGGCCTCTGGTTGCCCATACAGGGCCTTGAAATCGCCAAAACAAGCTCCAGATGAGAAATTGGTCGTGAGGGAGGAATCGAGACATCCAGCAGTCCGAGTTGTGAATAGATCACGATGACAGGGGTTTGGGATGTCCCGTACGAGCTCGGAGGTAGGTCCGTCACCAGACGCGGAGGGAAGGTGTGCAGAAGGCAGCAGAGTCAAATTGCGAATCGAGCCTACGTCTTTCGCGATTTGCCCTTGGAACGCTTTTGGCCGAACAGGGAATTTGGTATCGGCAATGTCAGTCTCGGCCCCAGACCGACCAATTTTTTGTGGTGAACGGTCGAGGAGGTGGAGGAGGAGGAGGAGGAGGGGGAGGAGGATCGAGAATCGAGGATTCCGTGTGCTGATGGCCCTTGCTGACCCTGCGGGGGCCTCCGCAGAGACCCCCGGAACCTCTGCGAGCACAGACCTCCGACGTCGCGATCTCTTCCATGCCATTGCTCTTCCGCGATCTTGACCTCCGAGGGGAGGACGTTCTCCGAGCCCCGCGGGGCCGTCAAGAGAACGCCTTGAGTGGTCAAAAGCTCTGGCTCCGCAGGAGGAGAAACGAGGGCTCTGAGGCCCGCGCACTGGTCGGCTACACGTGATAGTGACCCTTCGGTGCGCGTGACCTCTCAGCTGAACGTTGTTGGACGTTGTCGTCGGTTCCCGAAGATTTTTTCTTGCCTCGGGATGCATTCCAGCAGCTGCGCCTCAACGAGCGTCCAGCGAGTGCCCGAGTCGTCCCAGATGGCCGCTGGAGGCCCGAGCCATGACCCGAAAGCCGAGTGGCCCTTCGCCAGAGTGACCCTTGGTGCGCAGCTTTCGGGGGGCGCGGAGCAGTGGTCAAACCCGAGCGCGCAGGTCGTTGCTGCCGCACCGTGTACGCAGCAGGTGGCAAGGCGCGCACCGGAGGTCACTCTGGCCCAGGGTCGCTCTTGCGTGCAGCCGGGCCCCTGGCCTGGTCCAGGAGGGACCCTGGTCGCCGATCCGAGGCCCAAAAACCATCACGTCACTAATTTTGGGCCCCAGGGCCCACTGAGGCCCCAGGGGCCCCAGATTAGTGAAGTGACGTTTTTTCCCACGTAAGGACCCCGAAATCCATCACTTCATTAAGCCGAACCCAGGACGAAAGTCAGGGGCCGAATTGCTGCTGGGATGCAACATAGATCTCGTAGCCGACGGGACCGAAAAGGCCTGGCCATCCTCTCCTTCTGGCGGGTTTTCCGGAGCACGGCCCTGCAGACCGCGGGTTACGAAAGGTGTTCACGGCCCAGCGTGTCTTTCCCAGACTTCCAGCGTGTTGGAAACACAATGCGGGGGTTTTCGCCTTGTTCGGTATTTGGGTGCCTTCTGGAGCCGCCTGGGGGCCCTCTGGCCCCCGTGAGGGGTGCTGCTGAAGACCCCCGGGGGACCTCCTAGGAAATCCTGGGCAGCACCTGGAGCCGGTGGACACCGGGGGGGGGGGAGGTACACCTGGGCGGGGGGGTAGCACCCAGAGCGTAAGTAAAGGCGGCTCGGGACGCCTCCGGCAGCACCCGAGTGGGAGGCGGGCTGGGGGGTTCAACGAAGGCGCCCTCGCCAGCGGAGGCTTGGCGAGAGTCAGTTGGGCGTTGCGTAATGGGGGGGTCATAAATGGGGGGGGGCGAGGGTGGTCCGAAAAGGTACCCAAGCGGTACCTAAACGAGCCCCCTGGGGCTCCGGAGGGGCCCGAAAGGGGCACGAAAGGGGACCGCTTCTGACCACCCGATTTATGACCCCCCCCCAAGCCACGCCCAAGTCAGATCAGAGCGGACCCCGCAGGAATGGAGGCCCGCGCCCCGGGCGTTCTGCAGGCTCGCGCCGCATCGGCGCGGCGGCAACCCCAGCGCGGGCGCTCAAAGTGAAACGCTGCCAGTGGCCCCGGATCGGCCGACATCGAATGATCCGCGATGTCAGAAACCAACACACAAGTCGTCACACGAATTTGCCGTACTCGGGCATCGCATCCAGCGAATAGAAAGTCGACTGAAATCGCGGCGGATGGTTTATCGTTTGTTTGTTTTGGAGCCGTCGAGGGTTGGGTTCGGGCTTCCTAGCTGTCAAGAACCGATTCGGGCCGAAAAAAAGAAATTGGAAATGGACAAGGGGTCGAGAGTTCCAGGGGGCCTACGCGTCGAAAGAATCGAAGCGCTGGACGCCTGGGTCTTCCTCCTCCTCCTTCTCCTCCTTCTCTTCCTCCTCCTCTTCCTCCTCATCCTCATGCTCCTCCTCATGCTATATGGCCATGCTATATGGGCCGTTCTCTTCTTCTTATCCTCAGACCAGCCAGGCTGCTGAGTTCGGGTCGCTAGCTTCCTCGGCTACATACTTGGACTCGTCTCCTGGCCGCAGGCGCAGGCGTGGACAAGGTGGCTGCCCACCTTGCCCTCGACCCTGACCTCCCTAGGGACGAGTACGTCCGCCGTCTGGGCAACGACTGGGCCGACAAGGCCGCAAAGATGGGGGCGGCACTACATCCGGATGCATCCCCCGCCGAGCATCGCAGGTTGGACCAGCTGTTTTCGTTGGCGCGGGCAGTGGTGTTGCTCTCGGCACGGGTTTTGCCGCGTTGGCCGAAGACGTTCCTGGACGGAGTTCAGTGGGTGCCGCCGCCCCCACCTGCTGCCGACAGGGCCCCTGCAGTGTCAGCGCCTCACGAGTGGATTTTGGTCGGGCGGCCATCCCCGCAGTTATTGGCAATGTTCTAACTGGCTGAGGGGCTCGCGCTCGGTGTGCAGGCCTCCAGACCACCTTCATGTCCAGCGTCAAGTTTTACAAGAGCTGGGGTTGCGTGGTAATCGACTGCAGCGACGATTCGTTTGTGTGCTTTTGCCAGCGGTGCGGTTGTTTCACCTCCGGTGCTCGCCTCGATACATTGACGAAGACACATATTATTTTCGCTGATCCGCGCAAAAGCGAGAACTGAAGACACCTCGGCAATGGGCTTCATCAGAAAAGATCCGAGGCTACTGTCGACCTGTCAATTTTTTGCCCCATCTGATTGGGGTCCTTGGCCGCGGATGTCCAAAAATCATCATCATCCTCACTCGAATAGGATGTGGGGTTGCTGTTCGGCCCGAGTTTTTGAGCGACAAGCTACACCTGAAAAGGAAAAGTACCGCTTACATCCACTGTATTATAGACGCTTCGCGTAACCCCACCAGCAATTAGCTTCGTTCGCGCCCCGTTCGTTGTTGACCCGCTCCCGGACCTTCGCCTTGGAGCCGCCGACCAAAAAAGTAACCCCACCAGCCCCCGTCGTTGACTTTCCGACGTGTGGCGCCTCCGACTGACCTGCAGCTGTGCACATTGGCAATTCCCCTCAGTCTCAGTCCCGGCAGCCCCCCACCTGAGACCTCGGCCGCTTAGTTGTCGCCTCGCCCGTCGCTCTGTTTGTTTTTCCCGCGATTCCTTTGCCTAATTAGTCTCGGCGTAGCCCGCTTTGACCTGACACGCCGCCGGCGCGCTCGCCCGCGGCCGCTGACTAAAAAGTATATCCCCACCGCGTTCTGCCTCTTTCATTCCGCGCAACTCGCGGTTCATCTTTGGCCTCGTCGTGTGGTCCCCACCGCTCCGGCTTCGGCCTTTCCGTTCAAATCGCGGTTCCTCATCCTGGGCTAGCGGCCGTCTTGGCTTCGTCTTGTCCAGCATTCCGAGCGTGCGGATGGTCTTTGGTCGGCTTCCGCTCTTTCGAGGTACCCGTCCGCTCGTCATCCCTGGTGCCAGCCCGGTGCGTTGTGCCTAGTCGGGCCCGTGTTGGGTCAACCTGACACCCTTTCTCGCACAGGTACGTGGTGACCCGCGCCATTTTGGCTTGCGTCGCGCCTATGCCGTTTCCCCGCACTCCTGCGTACTGCTGCCTGGGGTCTCTCGGCTCCCGCCACCCTGGGAGCTGCAGCCTGCCAACGCTCTCGCCTCCTGGCAACATTTCCTTGGCCGACGGTCCTTTGGACCACCCTGGTTCTCGCGCTTCGCGTCGTCCGGGGCCTCGCCTTTGCATTTCTCTTTCCTACCTCGACCGACGTTTCGTTGGCCACGGCCACCCTGGTGCCCACGCAGTCGTCTGAGGTACGGTATCACGTTTTCTCTCTCGAAGTTGTCCCTGGCCGTCGTTGATTTTCCGACGTTTGGCGCTTCCGACGGACTTGCAGCTTTGCACGCTGGCAGCTCCCCTCAGTTTCAGTCCCCTCAGCCACCCACCTGGGGTCTCGGCCGCGCTTACCCGTCGCCTGGCGCGTTGCTCTGTTTGTTTTTTCCCGCGTTTCCTTTGCCTAATTAGTCTCTGCGTAGCCCGTTTTGACCTGACTCGCCGCCGGCGCGCTCGCCCGCGGCCGCTGATTAAAAAGTAACCCACCAGCCCATCCTGAAACCATGCCCATGGGAGTTGCCCGAAAAGGGGATGTGGAGGAGCATGCAGTGGAATAAAAAGATGGGGAAGCCGCTATACCACAAGAGGGAGAAGGATGGCGCAGGGAATCGGAGGGGGCGGAGGGCGAGCAGAAAGGCCAGAGGCCTCTTGGATGTTTCTCGGAGTCTCTTCGGATGTATTTGAGAATTGATTTGAATACTCTTGGGGCGGTTTGGGGGCTCGTGACAGTGCCGCAGGCCTCTTGGAGCGTCCTGGGTGGTTTGTACCCTTCGCTGTTGGTACATGTTTGTTTGTGACGGTATCCCCGTCAGGGTTTCGGGAGGTCGCGGGTCTGTGTTGATCTTTCCCCCCTTCGCCGTTCTTCTTCATCTCTTCCTGCTCGCGTTGTTTCTTCGCGCTCGGCCGCACCATATGTGCCCGATCGACACGAAAAAACTGGGGACCGCCCGTCGTCATCAATGCCGTCGGGGAACATTGCACACGGTGTCATCTTTCCTTTTCCCCAACCATATTGCGGCGTTGGGCTTTCGTTTTGAAGAGAGTCCCCGCGTCTCTTCCTCCTCCACCTTCTCATCCTCCTCTTTTTCCTCCTCCTCTTCCTCCTCCTCCTCCTCCTCCTCCTCCTCCTCCTCCTCCTCCTCATCCTCCTCCTCCCCTGCCTCGCGCTCCTCCCCCTCGTCCTCCCCCTCCTCCCTCCTCACCCCTCCCATCCATGTCTCTGCCATCCGCGCCATTCAACAATTTTGGCACACCCCTCACACGCTTCGTGGCCCCGTATGGACATCCACCGAAGGCCCATTGGCGGCGTTCGCATGCGTTCCCCCCACCCAGTACACCGCTTCGTGGCCCTGTAGGGGACGCCACCGAAGGCCCAAATTCCAGCGTTCGCATACGCCCACCGAACACATGTCGGCACACCCCTCACAAGCTTCATTGTCCCATGGGGAGCTCCACCGCAGCGTTCGCATGTATCCACCGCACCCATTTGGGCACACCGTTCTGACATTTCGTGGTCCCACAGAGAGTTTCACCGAAAACCAAGATGCCAGCGTTCGCATGCAGCCACCGCGCCCATTGTGGCACACCCTTCACACGCTTCGTGGCCCAAAAAGGAGTTCCATCGAAAGCCCAAATGCCAGTGTTCGCGTGCGCACACCGCACCCATGTGGCACACCCCGCGCACATTTCGTGGCCCCATCAGGAGTTCCGCCAAATGCCCACATGCCAGCAGTCGCATGCGCCCACAGCACCCACGTGGGTACACTTGCTCACACATTTTGAGGCCCCATAGGGAATTCCACCGACTGCCGCATGCGCCCGCCGCGCCCATTTTGGCACACCCCTCACACACTTCGTGGCCACATAGGGAGTTCCACCGACTGCCCACACGCCAGAGCTCGCATACGCCCACGGCACCCATTTCGGCACACCCCTCACACGCCTCCTGGCCCCCATATAGAACTCCACCGAAGGCCCAAATTCCAGCGTTCTCACGCGCCCGCCGCACCCATTTTGGCACACCCCTCACACACTTCGTGGTCCCATAGGAAGCTCCACCGCACGCGCCAACCGCACCCATTCTGGCACACATTTCACACGCTTCGTGGCACCCATAGAGAGCTCCACCGAAGAACATGCCAGCGCTCGCATGCGCCCACCGCTCCAATTCCTGCACATTTTTCATATGTTTCGTGGCCCCATAGGGAATCCCACCGAAGACCCAGATGCCAGCGTTCGCACGCGCACACCGCGCCCATTTTGGCACATCGTTCACACGCTTCGTGGCCCCATAGGGAGCATGGCCCAGACGCCAACGCTCGCATGCGCCCACCGCACCCATTCTGGCACACCCATCACACGCTTCGCGGCCCCATAGAAAGATCCACCGGGTGCGGTGCATACAACGACGGTACCCATGATTGCACGTGGTTGGGTCTTTCGCCAGGTTACTTATGTTTTTCTGCGAGCTCTCGTGAATCACAGATGGACGCAAGCTGTAAAAATTGACAGGGACCTGTTCGCGTTCTCAGGCGAGCCAGGGCCCAACACCGATGAGGTTTTGACTTGGGGTGTTTCGCACTTAGGATACCGATAGGACCACCCTTCGGGCGATAAGGAGGTCGAGGGGTGGAAGGGGAAGGGCAAACACTGCACGAAAAAACATAAAATCTACCTACTCCCGCCTGCTTCTGTCAACTTCGTGTGTACACATATATATATATACATACATACATGCATGCATGCATGCATACATACATGCATACATAGATACATACACACGCATATATATATATATATATCGATCAGTTTATCCATTGATCTATCGAGTCGATCCCTCAAGCAAGTAATCGATCCATCTATCTATATATATATATATATCTACCGCGGGGACGGTTGGCACAAGGACGCGGCATTTATTTGTTCGCGCACTACTTGGTGGCGGTTGGCGCCGTAGATCGCAGTCATTTGCTTCTACCCGCGCTGTTGCAGTGGCGGCAGTAACAGGTGGTGTTTATTTGCCTGCCCCACACTGCATAGCAGCAAGCGGAAGTGGATGATATTGGTTTGCTTGCTGCAAAGCAAAGTACGTGGCAGCTCTTTGCCCGCCCACCGTTTTTCTGTTGGTGGCTGCCGCTTGGCTGCGCGCACCTGCCTATCGACCCGGCGGCCCATTCATCGATCGATCTACCTATATTGCTATGTAGTTATCTACCCACCGACTTATCTATGTACGCATATACCTATCTATCCGTTCGTTGATCGATCCATCCGTCTATATATCTACTCATCTCTCGATCCACATCTACATCGATTTATCTATTCGGTAATGTTGGTGGTAATGGTGAGTGGTGGTGATGGTGGCGGCGGTGGTTGTGGTGGCGACGGCAGGGTGATGGGATGGTGGTGGACATGTGATGTGATGGTTTTTGTTCATGCTACTGCATCACAGCGCGATGCTAGTTTCACTTATTCGCGCGCGCTCTAGCGGCTGTACACTCGGGGGGGACATGCGATCGGAGCGCTAGCAGAGCTTGGTGCCACCAAGCGGGCGGCCGAGACTATCGTCGTAGCCGACGTATTCGTCGTCGTCGTGCTCACAATCGACATCACCATAATCACCACCACCCCCATCACCACCAGCAGCCCCAGCATCATCATCAGCCCCGTCGTTGTCGTCGTCGTCGTCGCCCTCGCCGTCGTCATCGCCAGGGCCTGGCGCAACCTCACGGACACTGGAACTTTTCCTCGAGCGTGCCGCGAAAAGGCGCTAAGTGGCACCGGATCTGGTCACTGTCGGTTTTGTCGTGGCGCCAGTGGCTTCCGCCTTGGAGCTCCTGCCAGTCCGGGCCGCTTCCAAGCGCTGCCGACGGCTGCCCGCCCTCGGGGCCGCCCTGGCCCCGCGTAACCGGCGGCGCGCGCGCGACCGCGAGCAAGGCCTTCGCCCACATAAGAAAGCGCTGGCCACCCCCCCTACGGCGACACAGCACAGAAACAGAACCCGAAAAGGCACGCTGTCAGAGACTGGCGCGCCGCCGCTCCGCTCCGCGCACTCGCGGCACATGCACTCCTGGCGCCCTGCCCTTCCCTGGAAGACGCGCGACACGGAGGCCGCGGCCACGCGCGCGCCCCCCGAAACAACGGCCGCGCACGCGCGCAGTGGCCGCGCGACAACGCCACTGAACAAGAGGCCAACGCTCTCTGTCCTGCGAACGAGCTCACCCACAACAGGCGGGCCGAACACAGCGCACGCGAGTTTGGCGCCCCACGTCAAAAAAACACGGCCTCGCGCACTTCGACGACGCCCCGCGCCTTGGCAGAGCCCAGAGGAAAGAGCGCACCAGCCGCGGCGGGCGCGCGCCACGCAGAACGTGGGCATAGACGCAGCGAGCGGCCTCAGAGAAGCGCATTCCATCTCAGCGCCAACAAAAACCGCGCACTCCTTCATGAGCTGACCTTCATCGAAGCCGAGGCGCACCCGCAAATGCGTCGCCTGGAACCCGCCCCGAGCCACGCCGCCGGCGTCGCTGCCAGAGGCGACCTGGAGGTTTTGATCTGCTTCAGGACTACGATTCGGAGCGCGCGGTAAAAGCATTCCATTCGTTTCCCCACGAAGCGCTTTCCAAGAGCCCGCGCGAGTTCCCCCGGCGCGACCGCCACCCCGGCGCGGCACCACTCGAAGGCCACGGCCCCCAGGCATGGGACGGGCACGCGGGCGGCCTGAGCATGGCAGTTCGGCCAGAGATCTTCGGCGCGGACGACAGACGCCACGCCCTGTACCTGATGTCCCACGTGGAGCGCGATCTCACAAATGCTGCAGCGCGGGCCCACTTTCCCCGCGGGCGCGCCGCCGCCACAGCAGAGCAACTGCTCGCATCTGAGGGGGCGCGGCGCCGGCAGAGCCTATCGCCGCAGCGCGCAGCTCCCAGCCCGAGCGCCCGCGACCCAGCACGACGAGCTCGCCCGAGTGCTTCTTCACCAGGCCCACAAGCAGCTTCGCGCGACCCTCGGCGGAGTCGAGGTGCTGCTCGCCACACTTACGCGCGCAGGTTCCAGGAAGGTCTTCAAGAAACTTCGAGCGCTGTCCCCGGAGGTGCACAGACTGGCATCCGCCCCGCGTGAGATTCGTGACCCTCGAACTGCACCTGTCGGCAGCGACCCGGAAATGCCCGTTCCCATCGCTGGCAGAGCCTGGCCACCACTCCAATTAGACCAGGTTTTCGCCGCCCTTGAACCCGAAGAGCTCCAACCGCGCCCTGGCCAGCATGCCTCGCGAGCGCCCCCCGCCCCCCCACTGCGTTCCCCCGTCCTCAGCGTCGTACTCACCCCCCCACGCCCCCCCGCCCCCTGCCCCCCCCCCCCCCCCTTCCCCCCCAGCCCTTCCGAAACGAGCCAAGGTAGAACTACCAGCGGCATCTCCCTAGCATAATCCTCTCCGCCGCCCCCCCCCCCCCTTGCCCCCCCCAACCCTCGCCACCACCACCCGCCCTCCTCGCCCGCCCCCCCTCCTGCGGCGCCCCGCAGGGCCGCCTGGACGTCCGCGCCCTTCGGGCAAGCCGCGACACAGCGAGAGCGCGAGCGTTCGACCTCCCGCTCCTCGACGGCCCGCACATCGGCCAGCTCTGAACTCTCCTCGCGCCGAGGCTGCCGCACCAGCTGCAGGAGCGACGGCAGCGCGTCCTCGCGCGCCGCGGCATGATCGGCAGCCGCGCGCACGTCCACTGCAGCGCCGTCAGGGACTGGCCCCATGCAGGTCCTCGGCGAACTCCGCGGCGCCCTCGAAGACGGCAACTTCTTCTGCTGCGTCGTTGGGACCACCCTAATCGATAGCTTCTTCGCCATAATCATCAGCGGCACGCGCCTCCGCGAGCTCTGGCAGCGCGCGCGCTGGCAGCGCCAGCGCCTCTGCGAGGTTGTCCAGCGAGCTTGGCTAGGAGGGTGAATGCGGGGGTCGGGCGCAGGGCCCCGGCACCGGTGTCTCTGTGAGCCACGCATGGGCGATGCGTCCCCGATTGCTGTGTTCGGCGCGGGAACCAATTGAAGCCCCCCGCCTGCGCCCGCGCGCGAGACTCGAGGGCAAACGAAGCAAAGAGTCAGGTGGTTGGGGAAAGGCGACGAACGCAGCGCGCGCTGAGGGCGCAAGAAGAGAAGGTTGGGATAGCGGCGGGGCGAGTGTCACAATCTGCCCCGCCAATCTGACGCGCGGAACACTGCACCCCAGTTCGCGCGGCCCTGGGGGCCAGGGCAAAATGTGAATTCACATTGCGGGGGGCAGCAAAATGTGAATTCACATCGTGGGACGAAGGAATGTGCGAATTGTGAATTCACATTGTGGAATGTGGCATAGGAATCTTCACGAAGGGGCCAGAATGTGAATTCACACTCTGGAAAAGAGGAAACATGCGAATTCACATTTAAGGAAAAAAGGAAAATGAGAATTCACATTTGGGGGGAATCACGGGAGCCATTCCAAATCTGTCTTAGGGGTCGACAAGTCATCGTTTGGGAACACACGCGATCATCAATCTCACAATCATGACACACTTGCATTCCACTTCGCCGCCCCACGCGCGATATGCAAGAACACCCGCACGCATGCACGACAATGGATGGACGGCGCGTCTGCCCGCGCGGGCAACGCGCGGGCGCGGGCGACTGGCCCTCCATGACCGCCAATATTGGATGCCAACCATACCCGATCACATACACGAGCGATATTTTGAGCACACGTGGGCCATTCAGCCCCCATTGCAGACCCCCCGTTGCAGACCCTTTCTTTCACCTTCCAATTGGCGGCAGAGACGGGCCCATCAGCACCCTCGCAGTCTCTGCCGGGTTTTGCAGCTCGCTCGAGGGCTTCTTGGCAGAGCCTGGCGCGGCCGCGGTCTCTTCTGCAGGCTCGCGCGGCGGAGCGAGGGCGCCCCGCGCGGCCTCCACGGCCGCCGGCTTGCTGGCAGGGCTCGTCGCGACCGCGGCCGCATCTGCAAGCCTTGGCGGCGGGGCGAGGGCACCTTGCGCGGCCTCCGCCCCGGGCTCGCCGGTCTCATTCTTCGTCGCGACCGACTCCGCGTCAGCTTCAAGAGAGGGCGGCGAGCGCGCCAACGCCGGCCCCGCATCCAGCGCAGAGAGCCGAGGGGCAGCGTCTGCCGGGGAGCACGCCCCCGGAGCCGACAGAGCCGAAGCCGCAGCCGACGGGGCCGACGGAGCCGCCACCGCCGCGGCGAAGAATGGCGCGCACAGCCTCGCCTGCGAGGCCGGCCGCGACGTCGCCCCCCACGGATGCAGCAGACGCGGCCGCGGCGCTGTTCTTGCGCCCCGGGCTGGGCCGGGAGAGCCTGGGGCAGCCGCCCCAGGCGCCGCCGGCTTACTGACAGAGCCGCGAGCGCCCGCGCCCTTTGCTGCAGGGCGCCGCGGCGCGGCCCGGGCACCCCGCGCGGCCTCCGCGTCAGCCGCCGCCCCCGGCGAGGCAGATGCGCTGGCAGAGCCCGCCGCAAGCCGCGCCAAGCTGTCCTGCGCGTGCTGCTCCACGACCTGTGGCAGCAGTTCCTGACCGCTTACAGCTGCATGTAAAATCCGCCATGCCTCCGCATCCATGTCCTGCGGCGGGCCCTCGAACATCACCGTCGCAGTGCGAGGCGCCCCCTTGCCCTTCGCGTGCTGGTTCCGAGCCACCTCGAACTCGAAGGGCCTGGTCGGGTCGCCCTGCCTTGAATTGACGAGGCAGTTGCGCTCCTGCTCGCGCTTGCCGAATTCCCTTGCGAGGTCCTCTAAGCGTTCCAGTCGACGTGCCCCACGCCCGGAATTCTTCTGAGAGCGTCGAACAATTGCTCGCCCGTCACCACGTAGGCGGGACTGAGCTCTGCGAACCCAGCGCGCGAGTTCGCGTGCACACGTAGCGCTGCTTCACCAGGCGCGAGCCATGGCATGGCTCGGCGCTGGCAGAGGTTGGCGCGGCCCACTCTCTGGCGACATGCCGTTGCGGCGTCGATGCTGGCAGCCCGTCTGCAGGGCGAAGCAGCTCGAGTACAAATGTTTTCGGAGTGATCATGGCGATGATGGTGCTACTGGTGTTTGTGCATCCACCTATCTGGGACAAGCATCGGGGCAAATATCGGGACAACCCTCGGGACGACCATCGGGAAAACCATCGAGACAACCATCGGGACAACCATCGGGACAACCATCGGGACAAACATCGGGGCAACCAGCGGGACAACCATCGGGACAACCCTCGGGACACCCACCAGGACAACCATCGGGACAAAACCATCGAGACAACCATCGGGACAACCATCGGGACAACCATCGGGACAAACATCGGGGCAACCATGGCAACCATCGGGACAACCACCGGGACACCCACCAGGACAACCATCGGGACAACCATCGGGACAACCATCGGGGCAACCATCGGGAGAACCATCGGGACACCCATCGGGGCAACTATTGGGACAAACATCGGGACACCCATCGGGGCAATTATTGGGACAACCATCGGGACAACCCGCGGCGCATCGCTTGGCATTGCTTAGCATTGTTTTGAACAACTTCGCACGTGTAGGCATTGCCTGGCGTTGCTTGGCATTTTTTTCCATGGGAACCCGAGGAACCCAAGGAACCCGAGGAACCTCCGGGGAACTGTCAGACTAGGGCCCCAGGACATCTATGTTTCGCTGTCTTTTAAGACAGAAGGAAAAACATTTGACAAAAACAAAAAAAACGCAGGCAAGCCTGATTGGGGAATTTCTAACCCAGTAAGAGCCCTTCAGGCAAGCCTAATGTGGGAACTGCGAGGTACCAGGGGCGGGGAGCCAGAGGAACCCGGGAAGCCCAGAACTTCCGGGCAACGGGCGGGCAACGCAACAACAGGAGGCACCGGGGTCGGCGAACCCAGGGAACCATGGGAATCTCCGGGAATTTCCGGGGTCCCGAGACACCAGGGGCGGGAAACCCGGGGAGCTTGGGGAATATCACGGGAGCGGGCAAGGTTGGGTCCCGAGACACGAATGGTCAACCAAGTGTTAAAAAATCTGAGCAAACCGAATTGTGGAAGTAATAAACACTATACCATTCCTCCTCCTGCCCTCCTCCGCCTTGTCTTGTGTGGGAGTCTCGCGTCGGGGGCATGTTCATCCATCGGTCGTGCCAGTCCTCCTCCTCCTCAGTGGTGTTTTCCTAGATTGAACGCTGGTGTACAGATCGCAGTGTGCACGAATTGAAGGCGATGCACGAATTCAAGGGGCCAATGGTTGCCCAGCCGACCTTCCCCGACGCGCCGTCCCGGCGAACGCCGCGCGGCCGAAAAGAAAGACCACGTGCCAGCGAGAGCAAAGGGGGGTCTGATTTTTTCTGTACCGACGTGGGCGATGCATCAGCGACGTCGGGACGGAGAAATTGGGCTCCAGATCGCACAGCATCGCCGATGCATCGACCAGGCCGTGCTATTGTCCGACCCCATCTGATCCGGCTACATTTGGGAGGCATCCAGGGAAAGCGGGTGTCCCAGGAGCAGTTCCTCATCCCGGGCAGTCCATTGGGAATTGAGGAACCCGAGAGGGTCAAAAAATCTCCAAGATTTGAGTGTCATTCATGCTTCTACAATGACCGCTTGACCATGCGGAGCGCCGACTGAGTCGTTGTTTTCTGGCCACGGCGGGCCTCGGCTAGGGATAGTTCCTCCTAGCCACACATCAGGAACGGGCCGCCAATCACAGCCCCTCTTGAGCCGGACATGGTGCGTATTCCGGCGAAGCAAACATGCAGCGACGTGTTGTTCCAATCTCCGGCCCAAGAGCAATCCTTCGGATGTCTTGGTAACCTCTTCTTGGCTGCAGCCCCCGGGAGGTTCAGCATCGGCAGAGGGGCATCCTTGGTCCGCAACCGTTTCCATCTGGCGAATCTCGCGCAATCCGGCTCAATGACGCCCTACTCGGGTTTACGGTCGGGATTTTCATCTCAGCGCGTCGCGCCGCCAGCTCTGGTTCATCACGTTTCGGCGCCACACGCCAACCACGCTCCGGTCCCCGGGCATCAGCTTCCCGTGCCTTTCGAAGCCCCCCGCCCCGCGAAGCGAAGCGACAATTTGCAATTCATAGCGTGTCGCCAGGGCCGCCGCCGCGACACGCGAAGCAGAAACAAAATTTCCTACAGTAGTGACGTTTCATCGTTCTTACGAAGACCTTTCAGAAGCTGCCTCCTAAACTCTAGGCCTCCTAGGTGGGGTCGGAGTAGATGGGGTCGGGGGATCGCGCCGCATTACCGATGCATCGGCGATACGGCTCGATGTGGAGCCCGATGTTCTCCACACCGGCGTCGCCGATGCACTGCCGGCGTCGCCGATGCATCGGCGATTTGGCGCGATCCTTCGACCCCACCAGGGAGGCCCCTACAGGAGCTTTCTCCTGAACCCTCCGTGTTCTGAGCTTGTCAGAAAGGCCTGGTCGTCAACGGCGCAGCCCCGCCACGCGCGCGTTCTTGGATGTGCGCCCAGGGATCCATCCTGGCTGCCGGTGGGGGCAGTTCTCAGGCTGTCGGCCTCGAGAGGAAGAAAAACGAAGAGGAGAAAGAGGAGGAGGAGGGAGGGAGGGAAGAAGGGAGGGAGGGAGGGTGTTCCAGCATAGGACACCAGGGTAATGTGCAACCGCCAGCGTTTTGGCTCAAGTGTTTCAGTCCGCGTTACCACGGGACGACACCCCGTGATACCTGCACCTGTCTCCTTACACAAGAGCACCCCATCCCTAGTACAATTATTATTAGGTTAAGTTCGCACGGTGTCTGAGCGAGGTTATGACAACGGGACCACGAGACAGGAATGGATCGAGTGTTTTTTTGTTAATGCTTAGTTAACTGTTGCGCGGTTAACAACCAAAGTCGTCATGAGTTCGCCAAAACTGCCCTTCAAGCTAACCACGACGCAATGGCGAATTACTTAGATGAACAAGACTCTCAGGCAACCAACGGTTACCCAATGAGCACGCCATATCATTGATGAACATGTTCGGCAAATCCAGCGCAGCATTGTTGTGCACCATGAACTGCGAGAAGTGGCACGAAGCAGAAACGACGATTGTGACGTCGCGGGTGGCTGAAGTGAGAAGGGTCATCGAAGAAACACGAACACGAGCGCAATACTCGCACAAATGGGACGAAGCAAAACAAACGCATCAGAGACCCATAAACGACCCCACAGCAACCGAGTCGCCAAAGAGCTTTACAGGCGACAGGGCTAAATTCTTTGAATGGGACCGACGACTCCTTAACGCGGCGGCACAGGCTAACAACGGCAACCGCAAGGCGCTCAAGACTTTGAACTCGACGTTGGAAACAGCAGACGGAGCAGCACCAGACCAGAGCGTGGATTGTGATAATATATGAGTGCAGAGCGGAAGAGCGGCAGCGGCGGAGCATAGCAAGGCCACATCGGAAAAACAACAAGAAAAAGACCAGAGAGAAGAAGAATACGCGCTGGACGAGGACGAGATCAGTAAATGTGACGGGGACGTGCGGTACATATGCACAGAGAAAATAGAGAACGCCGAGGCGCGCGGTAAACTGCACGGGCTCGGAGAGGGCGAAGGGCTAGCCGCTCACATGACAAAATATATGAGCGGTTCTCTGCGGTAACAGGAGCAACCTCACGGCCATGGTGAGCTCAACCAGTAAGCCCGAGAGACCCAAGAAGGCAAGCAGCTTTTTGATTCAGTTACAACACTGGTATGCCTTAGTGGAGAAATTAGAGACACACTGTAACCTCACGAGCCGATCCCATCCAAATAACGTCGCTGAAAACTACGGTATCGCACGCGGGAGAACTGCTTTATTATTGGCAACAGGACGGCTTTGAGACACCCGATCCACTAACCCTTGAACCCAATCTCACACTGTACCTCAGATGCGCAGATCGCGCGCGCACGCATCGACTGGATGCCGCAACAAAGAATGGCGATGACACGGACATCGGGACAGTCGGCTGAGAGGAAGAACGGGATGACCTGGACATTTACGCGCGAGGCTATCCAGAGGAGCACGACGAAGAAGGTAGTTGGTGGCCCGCCCATAACGACGGGAATCAAGAATTGCGCGAAGATCAAGGTCAGGGAGATGCAGGTGCATCTGGCTACGGCCGGAAGAAGAAATAGGTGAAGGCAAAATGACGCGCCATAAATGCTGGAGAACGGGCCGCGTCGCAGGGGGGGCGCCAGGGTAAATGTCAGGGGAAAGAGAATCGCAGGGACGTAGGGCACCCAAGCTGGTCAGAAAGGCACGGCAAAGGCAACCACTGAGGGCCCGAAGGATCAGGCAAAACAGCAAACCAGACGGGCGGCAAGCCCGGCGGCAAAGGGCGCGCGCCCACGAGCACGCGAGAAACGTACAAGTGCGACCAGGGAGGAGACAGCAGCAGACCGCACCAAGAGTGCATAAGCAGGGCAGGTAATCATTGATCAGGGCGCGTATAACCTCGGGCAACCATAGCCAGATCATTCAGACCGGTCTGAAAGCCCATGGGATTCACCAACCACGATAAGGCATGGCACGAGAGGTGCGACACAACATTAAGATGCCCGGAGTTGAAGTGCCAGTTATGTGGACACCCGGGCTTGGACGCGGAGTAGCACTGGCCGAAGTGGGCAGCCGATCGGACGCAGCGAACGCCGCGCCAGGCGACCGCCCCGAATCGAACGCGGAAACAGTTGCGGCGACCGCGAATTCGGGTGCCCACAACATTGCCGAACCGCCAACTGTTGACATTCACTGCACAGCATAGCACGCAGAAGCGCCCCAAACCGGCCGAGGCCACAGCGCGGCCGACGCCGCGGCCATCGAGAGGCACGGACAACGCGCAAACTCGGGACAGAGCGAAGCGGGAGACAGGGCCACGCCGCCGACGAAATTCGCCGACGCAAAGAAATCGCTCGGATCTGCGCGAGAAGTGGCGGAGGCGGGCAACAATAGCGCACCGGGCATGGACGGCCCCGGCCGATCGCGCAGTCGTCTACAGCACGGGGCCCCAGGGGGGAAACCGCGACTCGCGAACGCAACTGAACGCCCCAATCCGCCATCGAGGCCCCTGCCAGGCACGGGCGGGGCGTCGGCTCGACAATTAAGCGAGGAGGATAACAAGGGGGGTCGTTTGAGGCGGGGGCGCCCTCAGGAGAGCACCCCCACTCCGCCCCGGGAGCCCCGGCGACGCGATGAGAGGGGTTAACCATGGACGGGGAGAAGGCGGAGATCGCCGAGAGGACGGCAGCGCACTTGAAAGCGATAAGACGAAATCGAGAACGCGTTCGCGGGCTAAGAAGCTAAGACGGCGAAAAGAGCAACCCGCGACCTTCCTGGAAGCGCACAACGCCAGCAACTCACCGCATCGCAACTGGCGCCCCCGCGGCGCGCGCGGCAAATCGAAGAGGGCAGCTCGCGAGATGATGGACAGAACCGACCACGACGGAGCACCCACGACCCCCGCCGACTACACCCGGCTAAAGAGCAAATGCCCACGAGACCAAAGCCGGAGAACAAGCCGAAGAGCTGGGGCCAGGTGGCCCGATATGTGTCATGCACTGCAAGAAAGCAGGCTGAGTTGGAGCAGATTTTTACCCTGGGAGGGAGCGCCCAGCTATTCCACCGGGGCAGTGGAAGACGCGATCTCCTTCGCCAGTCGCCGAAAAGCCGCGTTCAAGAGCGACGGCGAGTCATCCACGACAGCGTCGGGGGAGACAGTTAGGCCGTCATCAGCGGCACCCACGGGATTCGACAAGCCCGGCAGGTGGCCCCGCTGCCCACGGAGACGCGGAGAGAGCGCCCAGACTACACGCGGGGCAAGGGGGGGCGTCGAGAAGTGCAGCGGGCGCAAAGTATAAGGATGAGTTCGCAGAGGACCACCATCCGACGACGTGGACGGCGCCATCTGCCTCATCGCTGCCCAACACCAACGGGCTCGCCGTCGGAAGTGGCGGAAAACTGCCCGCGAACATTGTCAAGGGCACAAATTGCACAAGTCGTTGCAAGAGCGCGACGATGCTCGGTGAGGCCAGAACTAAAATCGCATTCAAGCTAGAACCCAAGTGGGAGTCAGGAGCCCCCCTCGGGCTATAGAATAAATCTCAAGAACTCATCATTCGCGCGAACATGGAGGTCGCCCGGCCCCCGGGGCATCGACGCAAGAGAGCGAGGAAGAGGGGTTGCGTTTTTTATGGAACGATTTCGGCGAGGGGGTTTGGACTGCAGCCAGATCCCAACGCCGCGATGCGCAATCGCGCCCACGTCGCCTTGCCAGCGGAATCGGAGG